ACTATCCTCTTGTTCTGTCTAAACAACTGCCTGTTGATCTATGTACAGGTTCCTAAAGAGCACATTTAAGTGTTCTGGAATTCTCATTCTTCACAATGTTGTCCATAATTTGTTATGATCCACACAGTCGAATGCCTTAGCATAGACAACAAAACACAGGTAAACATCTTTCTGGTATTCTCTGCTTTCAGCCAGGATCCATCTAACATCAGCAATGATATCCCTGGTTCCACATCCTCTTCTGAATCCGGCCTGAATTTCTGGCAGTACCCTGTTGATACACTGCTGCAGCGGCTTTTGAATGCTCTTCAGCAAAATTTTACTTGTGTGTGATATTAATGACGTTGTTCGATAATTTCCACATTTGGTTGGATCACCTTTCTTGGGAATAGGCATAAATATGGATCTCTTCCAGTCGGTTGGCCAGGTAGCTCTCTTCCAAATTTCTTGGCATAGTCGAGTGAGCACTTCCAGCACTGCATCCATTTGTTGAAACATCTCAATTGATATTCCGTCAATCCCTGGAGCCTTGTTTTTCACCAATGCCTTCAGTGCAGCTTGGACTTCTTCCTTCAGCACCATTGGTTCCTAATCATATGCTACCTCTTGAAATGGCTGAACCTCGACCAACTATTTTTGGTATAATGATTGTGCATTCCTTCCATCTCTTTTGATGGTTCCTGCATCGTTTAATATTTTCCCCATAAAATCCTTCACTATTGCAACTTGAGGCTTAAATTTTTTCCTCAGTTCTTTCAGCTTGAGGAATGCCGAGTATGTTCTTCCTTTTTGGTTTCCTATCTCCAGCTCTTTGCGCCTGTCATTATAATGCTTTACTTTGTCTTCTTGAGCTACCCTTTGAAATCTTCTGTTCAGTTCTTTTACTTCTTCATTTCTTCCTTTTGCTTTAGCTACTTGACATTCAAAAGCAAGTTTCAGAGTCTCTTCTGACATCCATTTTGGTCTTTTCTTTCTTTCCTGTCTTTTTAATGACCTCTTGCTTTCTTCATGTATGACGTCTTTGATGTTATTCCTCAACTCGTCTGGTCTTTGGTCATTATTGTTCAGTGGGTCAAATCTGTTCTTGAGATGGTCTCTCAATTCAAGTGGGGTATACTCAAGGTCGTACTTTGGCTGTCTTGGACTTGTTCTAATTTTCTGCAGTTGCAACTAGAATTTGCATATGAGCAGTTGATGCTCTGTTCTGCAGTCAGCCCCTGGCCTTGTTCTCACTGATGATATTGAGCTTTTCCATTGCCTTTTTCCACAGATGTAGTCGATTTGATTCTTGTGTATTCCATCTGGTGAGGCCCATGTATAGTCACCGTTTATGTTGTTGAAAAAAAGGTATTTGCAATGCAGAACTCGTTGGTCTTGAAAAATTCTGTCATGCGATCTCCAGCATCTTTGTATTACCAAGGCCATATTTTCCAACTACCGATTCTTCTTCTTTGTTTCCAACTTTAGCATTCCAATCACCAGTAATTATCAATGCATCCTGATTGCATGTTCGATCAATTTCAAACTGCAGAAGCTGGTAAAAATCTTCAATTTCTTCATCTTTAGCCTTAGTGGTTGGTGCATAAATTTGAATAATAGTCATATTAACTGGCCTTCCTTGTAGGCATATGGATATTGTCCCATCACTGATAGAGTTGTACTTTAGGATAGATCTTGAAATCTTCTTTTTGGTTATGAATGCAACACCATTTGTCTTCAAGTTGTCATTCCCGGCATAGTAGACCATATGATTGTTGGATAATGGCCAATACCAGTCCATTTCAGCTCACTAACGCCTAGGATATCAATGTTTATGCGTTCCATTTCATTTTTGATGATTTCCAATTTTCCTAGATTCATACTGCAGACATTCCACTTTCCAATTATTAACGGATGTTTGCAGCTATTTCTTCTCATTTTGAGTTGTGCCACTTCATGAAATGAAGGTCCCAAAATCTTGACTCCATCCATGTCATTAAGGTTGGCTCTACTTTGAGGAGGCAGCTCGTCCCCAGTTGTCTTTTGAGTGCCTTCCAACCTGGGGGGCTCATCTTCTGACACTGTATCAGACAATGTTCTGCCGCTATTCATAAGATTTTCACTGGCTAATTCTTTTCAGAAGGAGACTGCCAGGTCCTTCTTCCTAGTCTGTCTTAGTCTGGAAGCTCAGCTGTGTCCTGAGGCCATCGCTTGAGATATAAAAGAGAGAAGTGAGCTGAGAGACTCGGGAACCACATACCACCAAAAAAGCAGTGCTGGGAGCAGAGCACGTCCTTTGGGCCTGGGGTCCCTGGGTGGAGAAGCCCCTAGTCCAGGGGAACATTGATGAGAAGGCCAACGGAACAGAAAGCCTTCCCCTTGAGCTGACACCCTGAATTTGGACTTTTAGGCTACTATACTGTGAAGAAATAAATTTCTCTTTGTTAAAACCATCCACTTGGGGCATTTCAGTTATAGCAGCACTAAGTGACTAAGACAGGTACCTTATCTTAACCAACAAAGAGGCTATGCTACGAGGAAGTTATACTCTCAAAAGGAGAGTATTGCAATTTTCTTGTGACTGACTTGAGAACTCCTTGCAAGTCACTAAGCCAAGAACAAATGCTGCTTAGTCATTCCCAAGGAAACTTCCCCATAGTAACTGAATGGTATCTAGCCAACAGACTCCTTAAACCAATCATGTATTCCCATATGTTATGTTTCCCACCTTCGACAATGATGTATTAATGAATAATAAGATTTTTTTCTTAACTTAATTTCCGTCTGTAATATTATATTAGAAAGTCCCTAATTGTGATTCAGTGGATTCTGTTAGTCTCTTGTGCCCAGTGCACACCAGCAGATCCCTCATTGCAATGATTGTCTTTGCCTTGGCTTAATAAAAATCTCTTTTAATTAAATTTGATTCTGGAGTCTTTTTCCCCTAAGGCACCCTTCATGTGGGGTTCTGTCTTTTTGTACTTCTTACAGCAGTGTTTCTCACCTTTTTTCTTCCCCAGTATGGCACCAGAAAGGAGTCCCAGTGGCACAATGGCTAAAGCACTCAACTGCTAACCAAAAGGTTGGTGGTTCAATCCACCAGCTGCTCTGAAGGAGGAAGACGTGGCAGTCCGCTTCCATAAAGATTACAGCCTTGGAAACCCTATGGGGCAGTTCTACTCTGTCCTATAGGGTTGCTATGAGTCAGAATCAACCCCACAGCAATGGGTTTTGTTTGTTTTTTAAAATGTTTACAGAAGCAGAGCAGAGCCACTGGGTGTGTTCAAACCACCAACCTTTGGGTTAGCATCCAAGGACTTACATACACTCACACACAAACTCACAGAAAGCAGAAGGCGAAAGGAAGTTTTAGGGGACAAATCAGAGCAACAGCATGGCCGTAGCCACATGGTTGGGCTCCTTGCCAGATGAACACAGAACACGTTGTCTGCTTTTTGCTTGATTCCAGTTCCATCTGCTCTGCCCTACCTACAGGCCTGCCCTTGTAACTTTTGTCCCATAAGAGTCATTAGCAAGCTCTGTCCCTTCCTCTGCTGGTCACCTCTCCCTGTTATTCTTCAGCTACTCCGTGCCACTCAGGTGTTCCTCACCCTAACTCCAGCTGCTACCAACCTTGCCCTACTCTTCATGACCAGCCTGCAGTTGCACACACAGGCATCCCTTTCCCATGTCCTGCTGCCCCAGGCTCGAGGTGCAGTGGAGGCTCCTCACTCACAGACCCATTCCCAGGCCCTTCAAAGGCCAAGGTACCCTTGGGATGCTGAGCAGAAAGGACCCAGTTGTTCATCCTCAGTGTCTGGGGCAATATTTGGGGCTGGATGGGTACAGGATCTGGAGACCAAAGGGGAGGAGAAAAGGCCCAGGCTCCTCCTGTCCTGTTTTCTACCCCCACCTTGGCCTGGTGGGATGCCCCCCGCCTTCCCTTCCTCTCAGGTGCACCATGTTCAATTTCTAAGTGGGGCCCATGGACCCTGACATACCCATACCCTAGATGGGCCTCCGGGCACCTGGGTACCTCCCTTAAAGATGAAGATGATGATCTTTCAGAAGCAACCGCCACCAATGCCTTTATTTAAGCTTATCTTCAGCCGGGTGTCTCAGAAATCTCTGGGACCAGAAACTCTCCCTCTAGGGTGTCCCCACTCCATGCATCCATGGTAATGTTACGGCAATAACGTGGATTGGAGCCGCCTGCCTCAATAGCCAATTCTGAGGGTGAGGTAAGCAGCAAGAGTTTTATTACATATTGATATATAAGAGACAGACGGGAATAGATTCCTCCAAAAACCCATCTTCCCTACTGGAGATTGGCTGAAGGCTTTCTAGGGACAAGATTATGGATCCTAGAAGTTTGTGTTAGTTCCCCCTGGAGGTAGTTACATCTCAGATGAGTTTTTACTGGTATTCTTGAGGGTTATCTGGAGACTTCCTGGTTTTCTTGTCGCAAGATGGGTACTTTGTTTGGTTTTTCATTCCTAGATCATTATTACTTGTTTTCCACACTCCAAGGAGGAAAATTGGTTAATCTTAAACTTTCTATAGTAACTGGAATGGGGGGGGGGGCAAACAAGATCATGAGACAATGCGGAGGTTAGCAATGGAGAGTAATAATAGTGAGCTGGACCTATGCAGCTACTTCCAGTAAGATCTGGGAAGTGTCCGTGACCTGGTGGTGGATGGGGAGGCCCTGTGTCAGCTGTGATGGAAAGTAGCTCCATGTTGGGGGCACAGGTGAGGCACAGGGAGTAGGGAGGGTGAGCTGGGCTTGGAGACGTCAGCAGGGGCCAAGCCTCCTGGGTTGGGGCTGAGCAAGGCCAGGTGACCCTAACAGCAGGAGGTGTGGGGTAAAATACTGTTGCTATGCTGGCTAATAATGGGATCTCAATAGCCAGTCTCGGGAACTGGCAGACGTATCTGGGTCATGCTGTTAGGAGTAATGTTCTGGCATTCTACAAAGATCCGGGCAAACCGGAAATTTGCTGAGGCTCTTCCCCACACAGAGGAGAAGGTGGGGCTCCTGAGAAGGCTGACTTCTGTTCTGCAGGCACTCCCACTGGAGACTTCCGTCTGGGCTGTGCTGCCCTGGCCCCTGCTGCCCAGCTGCTCTCCACTCCCATCCTGGGTGTGGGTCGTCTGAGGAGTCATGGCGCCAAGAAGTGAGTACAGGGATGAGAGTTCTAGGAAGAGGGCTGTGGGTGCCACCATCTTGGCAAGACCCTGAGGGGGCTGGACCCATGGAGGAGAGGGACAGCTGGATGGAGGCAGAGGTCTGGGTACCTGTATTTGCTGTATGTGGTTTTGTGGCAGAGGTTACGAAGATGCCGGAGAAGTAGGACAGAAGGTTGTGGACATGGTGGTGTTAGGGCAGCTGGCTGGCCCATGGGGAACAGACCCCTGATTTGACATACAAAGCTGAGGGAGCAGAGCCTCCCAGCCTGTCTCCCTACATCTTGGATGGGTGGAAGGTCCACTCCACAGCTGTCCTCTTTCCGGGCTCCTTCCTTTCCCTACTTGTCTGGGTTCCGTGGTCAGTGGGGGTTCAGAGGCTTTCCAAGAAGCTCAGGCACAATGGTGCTTTGGGCCAGTCCTGGCCACCTGCTCTGGGAGGTGGAAGGGCAGGAAGGAAATGAGTTCCGATCTCCCCGCAGCCCCTCCAACATTTGTTATTTCCAGTGTTTTTGATTCGTGCCAGTAATGCCGGGGTGAGATGGTATCTCATTGT